GATGTTTTCATTTTGAAAATTGTGGTCATGTCTCTGTTCAACACAGAACAAGATGACAGTTGTCTCGAGTTGGAATATCCCACGAGTAACCATTCTGTGCCATGTTCAATGCCACGCCTACTCCGTTTCAGGGATAAGTAGTGTACCATCTGTCTAGATTCTCCAACTTCCTACCACTTTTTCAGGTTTTTTTTTCCAGTGTAAGGAAAAGATAATATTTTGGAATATGCCTCCGAACTCAAAACCGTTCAATTATTCACAACTTGTAGTACCCAAAGCAGGCCTTCGTTGAGAGTTCCAACTACATCGTTCTCTTGAAGATGAACTACCCGTCCCATTCTTCATTTTGAGGATTGCTTTTATATGCTCGTCCGCACGCCCAATATGTGCCGACACGATGTGTTCACTGTATTGTGGTTATTTCTTTGTCACTGTAATAATTTAATGCCTCGAAAATCACTGATAGTGAAAGCTAAGCAATCATCAAGGGCACTCAGTCATTACTGTAGCGAATGAAGCACAGCGATCATGAACAACTTTTGCGTTTCAGTTCCTCGGGAAGCAGCTGAGAAATCCGATCGGATTGGCAGCCGGCTTTGATAAGAACGGTGAGGCAATTCGTCCTTTGGCGGAATGGTCCGGTTTCGGCCTCATCGAGATCGGCACTGTCACACCTATACCGCAGCAGGGTAACCCACGGCCACGGGTATTTCGGCTTTTAGAAGACGAGGTAAGGTAAATTCTCAACGAGATCATCTTTCAATAAAAAGAAATTATTAACACAGTATTTTATTTGAAGGCACACCTCAGCATATTTCAGGGAATTATCAATCGCTGTGGTTCCAACAGTGACGGAGTGGGTCGCGTACAACAACGGGTAAAAGCTGCTCGAGACGAATGGAATGACAATCTGGCGATGCTTGGTGTAAATATAGGAAAAAATATGCTCTGTGATGAGGCCAAGTAAGTGTTGAAATGTTGTGAAAAGGATTGCGGATTACGGTATCCGGTCATTGATTCTGATGTCTTTTCAGACTCGACTTCGAGATTGGTGTCAATTATTTTGCGGCGTATAGTGATTACGTGGTTATCAATGTGTCCTCTCCTAGCACTCCCAATTTACGATCTATGCAAAAGAAATCGGGTTTACAAAATGTTGGTCGTAACAGAGGTTCACTAATTAGTTACATTTTGATTTGCGTCCACTACATAGTAATTTATTTTAGTTACTAACCTATGTGAAACATGCCATTGACGTTATGGAATTAAATCCACGCCCAAAACTGCTGCTCAAAATTGCTCCTGATCTCACAGAATCCGAGAAAAAAGATATTGCCCAGGTACGACTTTGTGTTTTATGCAATCGTGATATGGTCGAAGGATCGTGCGATTGTCATTTGCGGACAGTGGGGCTCGAATGCCAAAGTGCTCAGGGGGTCAGCTAAGGGGAAAACAGAAAAAATATCGAAAGTACATTGTACAGACAATTGTTGATTCTAAATATTATCTGAGGATAAGGGGAAAGACACTGAGCGTAGAAAAGAGAGGCAGTCGATGGTATGGGAGTGAATACTCAGATAATATTTAGAATCAACAATTGTCTGTACAATGTACTTTCGATA